ATTATCAGTTCCAATTCATTTAGATATATTCCATGAATTATTTCTATGAATAATGCTTTTCATAATTTAATATATAAAGTTTTCCATAATGAATAATATAATTGAAGAATTTTATATCTGAAAATAAATCGAAAATATAAAATTTTGATTAATAATAAATAAATTTTAATAAATAACATATAAATTTACTTAATTCGTATTTTATGAGTTTTCTAATTTAAAGTCAATGTCTTTTGCATAACTTTCAATCACAATAGCAAATATAATTCGATGGAATATATTAATTTATTCTGTTCTAATATACGCTACGCAATATCTACGTTTATTTATAATCAATGAATCATTATTATAAGTATTTCATAAATTAGTTATATAAAGTAATAAGTAATACAATCAATAATATCATAAATTAATTATCGAATATGTTATAAAAGTTATATATGAATCTAAAGAATTTTTAAATTAATTTTTAAAAACAAAAAGATATATTGAACAAATTTTTTTATCTTTATTTTATTTGAATACAGAACTATTGTATTACGTTATTATGATATTATTACTTTTATTTTATTTGAATACAGAACTATTGTATTACTTTATTATGATATTATTACTTTTATTTTATTTGAATAAACAGAACTATTGTATTACTTTATTACGATATTATTTCTATATTATTATATTGTTATCATTTAAAATATTTTGTAATTTCATATTTTTTCAAATATTAATCAAATTACATGTTATACTTTAATTTTATTCCATAAATTATTATCTAAAAATATTTTTAAAATTGTAAAGTAAATTAATCTTTTAATTCTTTTTTAATTCTAAATACTTTATTCAGATTTATATTATAATTTGTCCAGGTATAAAATATTTTTATATCTGTCTAATTAATATGTATGTATATATAACATAATCTAATAAAAAAATTACATTTGCAAAGAAATTTAAAATATGCATATCTATATATTTATATTAATTTATTAATTTAGTTAAAAAAATTGTTGAAATATTACAGTAGTTTAAATATTAATTAATGTAAATTAATTTATATCAAGCTTTGCGAATATAAATATTATAATATATTTTTAATGCAAATTTGATAATGTGATAAATCGATTAGCGATCTTTGCATAAATGAATAATTAAATTTAAAATATTAACAATTTAAATTATAAATAAATAAGTAAAGTAATAATAAGTATAGTCTATAAAATTTATATACAGACATAGATATATCAAATCATTTTATTAAATAATTCGAATTTTACGAATTCAATTAATAAATTATTATTGTTTAATAATTTTTAAATAATTATTTTAATTAGTATATGTAATTATTATTTATTTATACATATTAAATTTTTATTTTATAATATTGTATTTTATAATATTGGAATATAGTTGAAATTCAGACAATTCAATTATTTAATTTTTTTTCGCGGCCTAAAGGATTTCAAGAAGGGAGAAAGTTTTTACGGTCATTTTTAAGAAAGTTTCGAAATGAATATTATGCGATTTCACTATTCAATGCACATTACATTTCAGATAATTTATTAATTGAATAACTTTTATATATATTTTAGTTTGTCAAATTTATTTCTTTACAATAGAAGTTATTATTATATTTTTCTTATGCAATAAAGTTTTTTTTTGAATAAATAAGTTTTGAATAATAGAATTTTTTCAAGAATATATATATATATTAAAGCAAAAGCTAAGAACGGAAAAAAAGATAAAATAGTGAAAAAATAAAGTGATAAAATAGTGAATTAAAAAATGAAAAAAATTAAAATTCTTCCAAATTAATTATTTTATCTCATCTTATTATTCGATGAACTGATAAAACCGTCCAATTTCTTGGAAAGTCAATACGAATATATACTAATAAGTCCAAAAATATAGCCTATCTTACATATTTCTGAATATCATTCTCCCTGTGGTCTGCAATAAATTCAAGGAACAATTACGGGTGAATGATCATGAAACTTTAACCAGTTCGTAAAATATATGCAACAACGCTCGGCTTGGACATAGTCTGCTACATAAATAATGACTACGTGTGATGCCGCGCGAGTCGTTGCTGTTGTTACAACCTGCTCACGGTATTGCCTCGTTTTACTTGAAAGCAAGCCTGACAATTATCTTAATAGCTGACTCGGTTGAGCGATTTCCAGGTAGCGAAGGCGATGTTTCCGACGATTTTCATCGAATAAACAGCGGAAAGGATAACCGTGTCAGCATACCTCTAGGCATGCTATATTTTCTGCGCTGGTTTATTCCTGATTTTTTTCTCTTTTTTTCTTCCATTGCCATCATATGTTAATCATACCAGATAGCGTGCACATGAATTCTTGGTAGCTTATCAACCGAGATTCAAAAATTATGAAAACTTGTTGCTAGAAGCTATACGATTGATTATGAGAAACTAGTGATCAATTTTCGAATTATCTTAGTCTTGGATAATCCTCGTGGAATCGTTTTGAAGGAAAAAGGAGAAAATCGATGTAACCTGTAATCTCGTGCGATATCTGTCTACATAGCTGAAAAGAAATGCAATCGAAGTTTAATGGCGATCAAGCAAATTATGAAAATGGTAGTGCCTTAGGTTATTCCTATACTTGTTTGATTAGTTATGTAATTGGAACTGATAAAGTTATATTTATATACATTCAACTAAAGATATTACTACTTTTAAAATTTATAATGATCAAATTTAATATTTTTAAATGAAAAAAATATTTAAGATAATTTTGATTATCTAAGTATTTTACATTTAAAAATTTTTTTAATAAACATAATTTTTTAAATATCATAATTATGTGAAAATATAAACAACCAATAAAAATTAAGATATTATATGAATAAATTTATATACTTATGAAAAATAATTAAACAAAAAATATCAAAAAATAAAAATTTCAATCTTATATGACTGCAATTTTATATATTTTATTTAGTTTAAAATGTATAATAAAATATGACTGCAATTTTATATATTATAATAAAAAAAAGATGATAAGAAAAAATAGAATAATATATAATAATATATACAATGAATACGTTGAATATGAAATAATTAATTATTGAAATAAAAATAAAAAATATAATTAATTCAGCTTTTATTATTATTAAAGAAAATATGAGTAATTATTTTGTTATTCAATAAATATTTAAAATCGTATTATATTAACTATATTATAATAATGAATCATAAGTTTTGACGTAATTTCGAGTTAAAATACAACACAATAAAATTGTTCAAATAACATATCAAAAAAATAAAAATATAATTACATGAATAATACTTTGATATTTTTCGTGATTCATACTTCGATCAATCCAAGAAGAATACTTTTAATTAATACTGTTTCTTATTTATGATGTTTGTTTCTTATTTAAAAAGAACGAAGCACGTGTCAACGTGATAATTACTATACACGAAGCGTACATATACTTTGAATTGTACCAGTATACGAACGACAAATTTAGTTACTATTACATGGATTGTCATTCTGTAATATGATGATGTCTCGTTTGTGTCAAGGACGATGTATCGTCATTCGCAACAAGCGTCATAAATCTCCTTTCTCCTTATACACATACGATGATACACTTGAATAGATAAATTTATCTATTTTTTAGAAAGTCATTAATTTGACTAATTTATTAGTTCAGTATAAAATTTATTTAATGTAATAATAATTACAAATTGCTATAAAATAAAATTAAAAATAACAATAATCTTAATAATAATAATAAATTAATTTTATGCTCTAATATTATTAATTAATATAAATTAATTTTGTGCTCTAATAAAACATTTCAAATAATTTATTAATCTTATTTTGAAAATAAAAAATAATTTTTTTTTGATTAATATTTTTAAACAAAATAATAAGCAATTATATAGATAGAAATTAGAAAAATATAGATTTTTATAATTTCAGAATTTAATGGACTTTTATATAAAAATAATAACTTATTTGCCAAATTCATGATCTTCAAAAACATTTATTTTATCATATATTTAATCATATATTTATCATTTTATCATTTTCATTACATACAACATAAAACTTAAAACTTATTTAAAATAAAACTTTATAATATTAATAATAATGTTATTAACGTAATTTTATCTAATATTAAATCTAATATTATGGTTTCGAATCTTTATATTATATCATATTGTTATATAGATTTATTTTAATCGTTAATTTTTATTTAAGTCAAGATTTAAGATCTAATCGAGTTCAAGATCTCTAATCTAATCTAATTCAAACTCAAATGTAAACGCAATCCTTAATTTTATTATATCACTCAATTGAATATAATATAATCTCTTCTAGATAGATTTACATTCATATATATATATATATATTATTATTATTCCATGATATATCATATAATATATGATATGTAAGTATGCATTTATATACAAGCTATCTAATATAGACGACACTATCTTATATTATATCGTACATATTCCAAAAATTTTCCTTACGAAAAAGAAATTCTGTGTTTACATATGATTATTTTGAACGGATATTTTACACTATACCATTGTAAACATGACTAATACTTCTGCACGTTCAAGTACAATTTTATATAATTTTACACAGATTCGCATGATCCTATAACGTTTAATGTTATATAACATATTTTTGTTTTAAATTCAAAATTTAATATAGAATAATAAATAACTATAATAATAATAACTATGTAATATATAAAATTATAGTATAGAATAGTAAAAAACTAAAATTAAAAATTGTATTAAAAATGCATCTTAAAAATGTAAAAGGGGAATGATGATGTTGAATTTTGTTATTGAATTTAATTTCTAAGTTTTATAAGGAATAGATATACATGATATATTATGATATACAAAAGATATACATTTAAATATGTATATAATATGTTATATTTTTGATGAGAAAGAAGAGAAACAAGTGACAAGTGAAAATTAATTATTTGTTTTATGATTCCAGTGGGTATGACAGTGCTGATGTTCTACCTGTTCGGTAAACCATACAAACGTGGATTCTTTTGCAATGACGAGTCGTTATATCACCCGTTCCACGACTCAACTGTAACCAGCGCGATGCTCTACGTTATTGGTCTTTTGCTTCCTATATGCACGGTGAGTCATCTGCTACCATCTGATTTCCAAAAAAAGCATCAAACGATATATATCTTGTCGACGCTATGATTTTCGCGTTTTGCGTTTTGGACTGTTTTATACGATATGTTATTAAATAAGCGAGAAATACCAAGCGTATGAAAGATATTGAAAAGATGAATTTACGGCTTAAAAATAACATATTAATGAGTAAGTAATATTAAAAATAATTCAATTTTAAGTTGAATTTAATTAAAAGTAATTAAATATTGTTTTTGCTATAATTTTTAATCTGTTTTTTAAATTGAATCAATATCAAATTTATACGTAATATGTATATATGGAATATATATTTTACATTTTGTACTATATTTATGTTTTTTTCATATTTATATACATGATATTTTTTTTAATGAAATAATGATTTTTCTTTTTGCAAAGCCTTTTCATAACATTGATTTGTTAATTTGTTTTTTCTATTAATTTGTTTTTTATCTTATCGACAATACAAGAAAATATTTTTTTAATAAACTTTTTTGAGAACATTAAATTCTCAAGTTCATTGATAAATTTATTATCTATTTTTTTCAGATAATAAAAGCTATATTTTTGAAATAAGTTAGACAAAAGAATATTTATCAATACAATTTAAAATATTCTAAGATAATTAAATTATAAATTTTCAAAATTTTTATTAAAAATAAAAAATTATTGATACTTTGATGATTGATTTAAATCAAAATTAATTTAAATATATGTATAATATGTAATATGAATAATGAAAACTTGTTCTTTTTAAATTTTATTTTAAATATATTAATATTCTTTTTAAATTTTTAAATGATAATTTTTATTTTACTTTGCATTATTTTTTTTTATTAAAATTCTTTTTTTTTATTTTTCTTCAATGAAATAAATTTCAAATTAAATTATAAATTTTCAAAATTTGATATATAAAATTATAATATAAAAAATGGATTATAAATGATCCCATTTATAAATCAAAGAAATGATCTATAAAAAAATACAACGTACATAGTCTCATTTTTATCTTCTATTTATATCTTGTTTTTGCATAATCATAGTACATATGCTATACGTCATTTGTTTTTTTTAATATGTGTTTTTCTATTAAATTTTATGGAATTTTTATGTCATATATTTTATGCTACATGAATCATAAAAAAATATTCAATTTTAATGTTTTCATTAATGTTATCGATAATAGTTTTTTAAAATATTTATTGCAGACATATTTAAAAAATTGAGAAAAGTACAGACAAATAAAATGTTCTTGTTTCTTTATAGTTGTAATAAATTTTTATCATGTTAAAGACTTTATTTGATTTTTGAAATTGATTTATTTTATTCATATTAATATTCAATATTTTAAAAGTATAATTTGACATTAAAACAATTGAAATTTATAAAATTGTATAAAAATTTTAAAGAAAAGTTGTTAAATTTTTTATAATCCTTATTTATATTTGAACATTTTTGAATGAAATAAAATAATATTAAAAAAATTTTTTTTAATTTTTTGAATTTCATGAAAACATATATTTTATCTTATTTTCAAACTATTCGTTTATTATGTATTATTATATGATAAAGCAATACAAATTTATTATATTTATTAGCTTTTGAATTATTTTTTTCCTTTTTAGTGATATAATTTTACATAACATATACATATTATTATTTTTAAAATAATCATTATTATTAATTTTGAAGAAACAATTAAAAAATATTTAAGAATATAAATATAAAACATAAACAATTTACCAAATATACAATAATAATTCTATAATAAATAAAACATTGAACATTTCCGTTTTGAATGAATAGAAAATAATTCAAAATTATAAGAATATCAATGTTTAGATAATTAACAGTAAAATATATAAATAATAAAAACATTCTTTGATTGCTAATGATATTGAATGATAATAATAATCAATCGATAATATTGAATAATTATAACAATAATAATTGATAAGTTATCGTATTACATTATGATTTAGATTTTTTTTATGACCAGAATATTTTCACATATATTTTCATGTATTTTTCTATTGTTTATATTATAACTTCTTATTATTTTTAGAGCTTTATTATATTACTTTTATAATAAATATTCTTGTCATATTTCTATATTCAAAAAATTATATGATAATTAATTAAATAATAAAAATTATGTATTACGCAAAATGAAAAATTTTATTGCAACAAAACTTTTTATTTGTTATCATTTATTTTTTAAATAATCATATTTTATTTAAATCGATCTATTCTAATATTTTGAAAACTATGATGATATTTAGATTGCAAATTTTTATACAAAAGTATAAAATATATTTTGGTATAAATATAATATTTCGCATATTATATATATTTTATCTTTATATATATATATATAAATATTATATAAATGTAATATATATATATATATATGTTAAATGTTATATATATAATATATAATATAATATATATGTATATTTAATACAATAAATATTGATAACTGCGATAAAAAAATCAGAAATTATTGGTTTATCCAAATTTCATGCAAATATTCACGAAATTTATTTAGTGATTTATAGAATGTAAATTGTGATGAACAATTAACAAAAGAATAAATGCATGTTTCTAAAAAAGAGAAATCCTACTATATAAAATCATAAACATATTAAGATAATATGAGTAAATTTTATTGCATAACATTATATGGTTTATGAATATTTAACATATTTTATGACATAGAATGATCATTTTTAATAATTAACAAATTAATTGATAAATGTAAATATTTAAATTCCACAAATATAGAGAAATTATTATGTGACTTATTGTAATAACAATTATGGATTATTCATTATAAATAAATTTTATATTATTATATCATTATATTAATTAAAACAGAAATGTTAAATATTCATTATTACCAATTTAAATTATGTTATATGCAATATATTTATCTTATATTGAATAAACATATGTGTATAAATATCTATGCATATTTTATACTTCACAAATATAAATTTCATTGTTATAATATTTTATTTATATATTTTATGTGCGGTTAATTTAATGATATTAAAAGATATTTTAGATAAAAATTGAGGGATTTGAAACAATATTTTGATTGATATAGGAGCCTAGATCAAGTCATAGAAGATATTGAGAAGGTAATTTTATTTTTCTTAAATGAAATCATATTTTTCTAAACACATAAAACGATACAGGTTAATTGTTATTTATAAAAAACTACTAAGTCATTTACGCCAAAAAACATTGATTTATGAAACATTTTATTAATTAAAATTTTTATTTAATTAGTAAAACGTAAAGTAAAACATAATTTAATTAGTAAATTTTAACTTATTGAATATTGAAAAGTTGATTTTTTGATATAAATGATTTTTGCTTTTTCATATAATTAATAAATTATTAATTGAGTATATTTATGTATCAAAAGCTTTGATTTTATTTTTATAAAAAATATTAATTTCCAAATGTTTTTTATGATTCAATCTAAAAAAAATCTTTTAAGATCAAATGAAAATATTTTTCAATACGATCAATCAATTTTTTTTTAAATATTTAGATAAATCGAATTAAATGAGATACTGTGTATATATAAAATACTTGTATATGTGAATACACATATATATTAATACATCTGTATACTTATATAATCATACATATAAATTTAAATATATTGTTTTATCTTTATTGCTATTTTTGTAAATTGAAATGTAATAAATTTTATTTAATATGAAACCACTAAAGTTTAAATAATTTTAAACATTCGTGAAATAATAGCCTATTTCATATGCAATAACATAATCTGCGGTCTAACACTTGACGATCATTTAATTCTTGACTATGACTTGATTGTCGAGTTCTATGTAAATTTTTAACATATATTTATTCTTTATTTATTTCAAAGAAAGATTAAAAAAAAAACTTTTCAATAAAAAAATTCGATCGTCTTATATATGTCATAAAAAACATAATTTTAATTTTATATTTCTTAAAAATTTTGCAATAAAAATGCAATTATTATTATTACATATTTCTCATTATTACCGTTCTATTTTTATTCCTTCAATAAAACGATGATATAAAAGTTTGGTTTAAAAGTCGCATGGGTTATAAACGATCCAGTTCACAATCCACTGTACGAAAGTTAAAGAAACGAACGATCTTAATACTCATTCATACACGTTGCTTATAGAGTACGTCTTTCACAGTTGTATTCAAATTTAAATATACTTCTGTATGCACAAAAAGTTCTCTCCCTATCGTCCCTCCCTATGCGTACACAAGATTTGTGACACTCTTCGGAACATACACATATATTTACATGTATACAAGTCTAACTGAAATGTCGACAAGTGGTAGTCTTGCGAGGAATAAAAAAAGCTTCCTATCTTTTTATCTAATTTCCTGACGACACCGCCGCCACAGCTGTTCTTTATCTGCTTCTTGCTCACCACCGTATATACAATCCCCTAAGTCGATCTAATATATCGTTAGATATTTTCCGAAGAGCGTTTCGAACTCCTGTCGACGAGATACGGTTGAAACGGTACGAGAGAAACGAAGGAAAAATGATAAAAAAAAAGGAAGAAATATAGAGCGGATAGGTGAAAGGATTGAAACGAAGGCGTATGTATATAGGTGGAAGCGCGTAAGGATGTCGACACATGTGGGATGCAACGACGAAAGAAGAGCATTCGTTAAGTTTCGGTGGTCGTGGGAATCGATTTACGGTATCTGGAAGTGGTGCACGTGCACACTGATGTATTTTTGCCGGACGGCGCGAAGGCAGAAGAGACTGCATCCTCTATTTGCATCCTTGGAAACTGCACTCCGCCAGGCTCGAGCTAGCAAGGGGTCGTTAGCCACTAAAGGAAACTGAACAGATGCATGTGTTGCCCTTGCTTCGTAGAATATTTTCATATTTCCTCTGTACACGTGCTCCGTACAATAAGACTTGGTAGAAAATTGTTTGAATT